TCATAACGTTATTATCTTGTTGGCACCTTATCAGGTCATCTGGAGCTCATTGGCGCAGAACTTACCCAGGATAAAGCAAGCAAAGAAAGTCCACATTTTCAAAGTGGAAATTCTCGCGAACCACTCGAAATATCATCTCATCTTCTTCCTGGGAGCATTATTGATCCACATCGACAGCTGCTGATGGTTTTGAGTAACATCGGATATTGCAAAGACGAACTTGCTCGTGAATTGTACAGCAAATACAAACATATTTGGCTGCAATCTAGGTAGACAGTTCAACACACTTCCTCATGAAGTCAAGAAAAAAAAAATCAAAACCTCCACTCTTTGTGGTATTAAGAGAACACGAGTTAAATGATAATATTTTGATAGTGTTTATTGTTAATTTTTAGTTCAAGACAAGGTACTTGTGCTTAAAATATGATAAATTAATCTTTTTCTGGTAACCCCCATACACTCTACCCTGGTTCCCTTTAGTTGATGTAAATTACTCTTTTTCTGGTAAGCCCCGTACACTCTACCCTGGTTCCCTTTCCTGTATTTATTTCCTCTCATTTATCCTAGAAAATAAACATAAAACAAGGGACAGCGTAGAAGAGTGATCAGGCTCATATGCACTCTCTTGAACAAATTTTTAAACAGGAAGCTAATGCAATGGATTTGATGTTCAAGTGCTGTAAATTGATATTGTTGATGGGATAATGCTTGCTCTATCAATAATTTATTCCTACCTTTTGAAAATTATTTTTACAGTCTGCCTTTTGTTTGCCAATTTAGGGTGAAAATTGAAGAGGAAAGCGACATACAAGATTTGGTTTTGTCTTTCACCAGCCTTGAAGAGAAGGTCCTTGCACAGTATACTCTGGCAAAGGTATGCGAAACTCCAGTCTTAAGTCGACCATAAAAGCTGTGAGATAATGGTTTCAGAAATTTTTTTTTTGAGATAATGGATTTGAATGTATATGGAAGAATCAAGCTTTCATGTCATCTAATTTTATCAATGAACATTTTATTTTCATTCATGTCGTATGAAGAGGTTATCAATTTTCAGACATATTATATATCTTTGTTTACAGCCAGACCTTTCAGTGAGTAGCTCACTATATTGTATATAGTGTTGAGTGCTTTGGTTGAATCTCAACTAAATAGAAGTAAAAAATTGCAGTAGTTAAGAAGCTTTCATATTCTTGTCACCTTTGGTAATCATGAAAACTCCAGCTCTACAATTTCTGGTAGAATTATGAAAACTTGGAGACAGATCAATCACTGCCCTGGACAGTATTCATCCTTCCTTTGTAGTTACCGGTGATTTTTTTTATGGCAGAAGTGCACATAAGATTAGACTTAAAAGTCATGAATATGTCTGTTATCTCTTGTTCTCGGTAATAACAGGGTAAAGTTTAACTTAGAGAAACCTTAAAGAAAGGACTTAAACTGTTTGTTTTTAAGGTTTGTGTCATATTTTCACCTTATTATTTTATTCATTCTTTCCCAGACAAATTTGATTAGAACAGCAGCTGTAAACTACTTGTTGGAGGCTGGAGTTGAATGGGGAGCAGCACCTGCTGTGAAAGTCAGGAATCCTTTTTCTGCTTCTCATTTTCTTTATCTCAAAGAATTTGCGTGTTATTTTGTTCTCAATGGTACAATAAAACCTTGCAGGGAGTGCGAGATGCAGCTGTGGATTTACTCCATACTCTAGTTTCTGTGCACTCTGAGGTATTTCTGCACACACCATGTGATTCAGACTTACACACCATGAGAGCTTTCAAAAAAATTTAATGTCATCCATTTTTATTTTATTTTTTTAAACATGCATCAACCTAGGATATTTCCTGGAACTTTGAAAAGGTGAGTTTTTGGTACATTTTGCTTAATAACTTATTTTACACAAAGTTTGTTCTCCGTGAAGGTTTTTGCTGGTTGTAAGCCTCTATTGGACCACACTCTTGGTATTCTCGTTGAAGGCCTCATCGATATTTTTCTTGGTCTTTTTCACGAAAACCAAACCAAAGAACTCAAGGCACTGGATCCAAACGGCTTTTGTCAGCTCATGCTTGAGGTAAGCTGACTAATCATCTTCCTCGCCTAAATTTTCTCCAGAACTACTCACCATTATAAGAGTCCAGGCAGAGCTGGTTCTGAATACAGTGCTCCAGCTTCCCAATGAACTTAATGCAAGTTGAATATCTAAAGCACTTGTTTATTTATAGACAAGATTGGTTAACATGTTTATTTTAATGCTTTAGATCATTTAATGTGATTGTTGAATTTTCTTTCAAATTTTATCTTTTCCTTTATGGTTTTCTCTGACTCCTAATTGATTTTCTCAACCATTCTGCAGCTTGAATATTTCGAGACCATATTGAATCCTTACTTCACTCATGATGCAAGGGAATCTCTCAAATCTTTACAAGGGGTCCTGTTGGAGAAAGCGGCAGAAAGTGGGATAGAGTCTATTGAGACTCCAAGTCATCAGCGCCGGGCAACACGTGGAGTTGACGACGTTCTCACAGATGATAGGCAGTCAGGGACGGCTGTATCACCAGACGATCTGATTGTAAGATATTTCTTCTCCCCCCTAAATTCTGTCTTCCTATAACTGACCATATGCCCTGTTCTATCACCTGATTGTAAGATATTATCTTCCTTTTTTTTTTTTTCCTTCTGATTGTGAGCGCTGCTCATGTAATCTTGCTGTACGCACTCCCTGCACTGTATTTAACTGTTAAGTTTGACCGACTTAGTACAGCAAGTTCCCATAAAATTACTTAATTCATTTTAGCGGAAATTGGTTGTCCTGTAAGAAATTGTTGTTTGTCTCACTTACCCTTCCAGTTCTTGGTTCTTTTATCTTAGGCTCTTGCCCAGCAGTACAGTTCTGAACTACTTCAAGCTGAGCTTGAAAGGACACGGATCAACACAGCATGCTTTGTTGAGTCGATTGCACTTGACTCGGTTCCAGAATCAGCAAAAGCGGCGTATGCTTCGTTTAGAGATTCTCCTAACAGAAGCTTTGGAGGCACCCAATCATTTGGTTCGCCAAGTTTCTCCAGACGAAGGCACGGATGAATTTGTAGTTAGAGTGCATTTTGCTTTTGATTTCTTTTGTTAGTTGCAATCCTAGTAATTATGATAGGGAAATACATGTATTTCCCATGGTAAATAATTCCAATTAGTAGCATATTGAGTTTTTCTAATCTTGCAGCAAAATTATCATAACGTTGTTCGTCAATAATCAACAAGACAACATCTTTCACCTCAGCTTGATTAAAGTTTGTCAACGTCATACCATGGAAGCAAACGTTAGACGTATGAACAAACATGAATAATATTCAATGGTTATTTTATTTTTCCAAGATTAACATCTTACGAGCTGAAATGATGAAGCTGCATATTAGTGGAAGAACTTGGAATTTCTTCACCCACAGATTAGTTCAACTAGTTAAACAAGGAAATATCCATTTCAACTTTTACTCAAATGAAAGATATAATTCTCAAATGAGTTTTAAGAACCAATACAAATTGGAAAATATCTGAGTATAGAATTACAGGCTATGACCATTTAATCAATCTCAGAAACATCAGTAACTAGGAAATCTTAATCACGCTGTCCTTAACGGAGGTGAAACCAAGATGACACCGTCTCCTCTGACAAACAGAAATGGCACTGTACGCCTCGTGGTCTGTAACAATGGTTGAACACAATATAAGAATCCACATACACAAAACCCATATCACGAAAACTATTAATCAACAAAATAGACTTACTAGTTCCAATTTCTCAAAATAACCAAATATACTTCAATTTCTGTCACAAGGAGGCTGAGAATTTTGTAATAGCATAATCAGAGCCTTTCATGCTCACTGGACATTTCATTTGCCAATTCCCAACTTGTTTTTATATTCACAAACGTGTCTTATAAAAGCACCATGTAAGTATGACTGTACAACCAACACATGAGCACTAGTTGAGTATTATCTAATACAATACACGTTAGAGTTGCACATAACATCGTATTCTAGCCAACCAGTGAACAAGATTGTCAATATTTGGATTTCCTGCTTCTATTATCTGCGAACAACTCAATAAAAATGCACCGAATTGTACAAGGCGAGCAAAAACATACAATAGGGCCAAAGGACAAAGGAAAATATCAAAAAAGGCGTGCAGAAACAGTTCTTGCCCTTGGACTACCTAATTTTTCCTTCACCAATAATCTTCAGTCAAGATAAAGAAAATCTGACAGCTGACACAGAGTCTATAAAGTTCGACATCATGGCTTCATAATACATGCATCTTTACCAAGATATGCATAAGAATACCCATCACCCACAAGGACATTAAATATTTCAACTATTTCAAGCATTAGAAGCGATTCTTCAAACTGTGAAAACAAAATCCCTCCCTCTATATAAAGTGCCCATTAGTCCATTATTAGGTATGAATCTTGATTACACCACTTGTCATACCACTTGCATCCATAAGCCACCTTTACCCTATAAAAAATCCTCTTAAGTCACTTTTTGACATGCTCCTCCATGAATTTAATGTACTAAACAGGTACCTGTCTCCATAGATACATCACAACCATGCTATACCCAGAATATACTTTGTAATCCCATTGGACCTTGTAAGATCAGGATCAGTGTGGAAAGTTGTAGGGGAAATAGGATAGGTTTTCCTTTCTTCACAAATTAGGGGCAATTCAGGCCGTCAAGTAGCATATGAAAATCTAATTTTACTGGGAACAAGTTTCAAATTACACAACCCTAATTTGGTAATTGTACAACTACACCGGATTTAACTTTATGAAGGATTAGTTGAGAAAAAAAGGGGATGTTGGTTCTGTAAAACCTAATTTCCTTTGATCTAAATACAAAATAATGAACTTCTTCTAAATAAGGTGCACCTTCAATTTCAAGTTAGCAACAAAAATCTACAAGTTGTTCACAAATCAAATGAGCCAGACCAGGATAAGTCATTATCGAAANACCTTCAATTTCAAGTTAGCAACAAAAATCTACAAGTTGTTCACAAATCAAATGAGCCAGACCAGGATAAGTCATTATCGAAATATTCTACTTCTAAACTGATTGCCACAACAAGTGAAGGAATACGTTTATCTGGCTATTAGCTCCAAGGCAATGTTGAAGTTCTAAGCCAACACTGATGGTAACAAGTGGTGCTACTCTCTTATATGCTCATGGATAAAAATGATAAACAAAAATTTGAAGGAAAAAAGTAACAGAAGAAAATCCATAAAATTTAAGCATACCCGGACAATCTCTTCATACGTTTCATCATCAATTTCAACTGATGTAACTATCTCTTCAACATCACCAAGAATCATATTCAAATGCTGATCATAGGCCTGCAAAATTAATATCATAAAACAACATTAATCTTGATGATTTCCAACGAAGGCCAGTAAACAAAAAACCTTGAAGACCCTCCCTAATCATTAAAGACAAAAAGAATAAATATAAATAAGAAGTCTTGTATTATTTTGGAAGATGTTCAAAATACATTTATTCAAGATTCTAAGATGCACTAATATTAATAAAATAATAACCCATGTTAAGGCCATTTAAGACCTCTGATATACATATTGAACAAAGAAAAAACTTTGCAAATGGATCTTTCACTTCAAAGCACATAATATAGCCTCAAAAATTAGTTTTTCCAAGATATTACTGCATCTTTTACCCATTTCGCTATCACTTGGAACTCATCCGATTAGCTTTTTGGTTCCAAAATACACCTAATTTTTAATAAAAATCTAAGTTAAAGTCGACAATTAATTTTAACGTGGACCACAACGTTGACCAATTTTTCAAACACATATTTCATAAACTTTTTATCAAAATCTTCGAAAACTCTAATTATTATCTACGCCAAACAGGACCATAACATCTTTCTTCGGTGTACTTCTGCAAGCAAGCTTTAAGAATATCAAAAGTAGGTTTCTGCATCCTCTCGATGTTTCTTAAATTTTTCTCATACTCATCAAAATATTATAAATGAAAACATAAAACATTACAAGGAAATGAGGATAACTCAGAGTAGGTTCAAATGTTCAAAATAAAAATACTTCATTCCAGCCAACTGAATCCCATAATATATACAACCAGAAACACAAACCACTGCATACTACAAACATTTAAATTGAGTGACCCACTAGAACATTAACGCAGAAGACCATGGTGAAAGATGAAAAATTACTAATTCTATCACGTCAGTAGCAAGTAAAGAGAGAAATGACCAATATATATATATATATATAAACAAAAACACATTAGGAAACCTGAAATTTAGCTTGACAGGAATGATCACAATTAACCTAAAGATCATAACCCTAAATCTAATCCCTCAACCCCAAACCAAAGTACAAAAACAATCACCACAAACACACACATACAATACAAACATATATACCAATAAATAAATGGAAAAGAAGAGATCGGACATGGAGCTTGCCGCGAAGCTCGCGGTCATGGCGGAGCTTGACGTAAATGCGCTCGTCCAGACTGAGACGGATGAGGTCCAATGGCTCCTTCACTGCACTCTCCTCTTCGCTTCCCATTCTTACACTTGGATTTTAGTTCCTTTGCTGCTTTGAATTTTGATTAAGAGAAAGCCGTGCTAACATTCAATGCAAACCCTAATTCGAGTATAAATCCTCTTTTCAGTTTTCACTCACTGTTGCCACTACCAAAATTCCGATATTACTATCGGGAAAATTCTATCATCGATCCTCTACATATTGAACTAATTGTAATTTAGTCCAAAACTATTTTACTTGGCAGCGTGATTTGCAAGTTATCTGTTTAATGCCATGTTACTCCTTACGACAAATTTCTTCCATGAAGAATATATATATATATAATTTAAATTATTATTATTATTTTTTTCAATCTTTAACCAATTTTCCCTCCTCCTTGTCACAATCACCAATAAGATATCAAATCACAAATCAAAATTACTACAATCAAAGAGTTCAATATGAATTAGCTCGATAAGAAATAAAGTCAAAATGTCTTGTCAGAACAACTCTCAACACAACTATAACAAAAGCAGTTTGGTGTACAAATGAACCCCTACCGACGCCTCACAATTGGAGGGGTGAGGGGGTTGATTTTTGGCATTTTTTATTTTGTAGGGCCTACTCTTTTTGTGAGTTATCTAGCAATGAACTTGACTTTGTACACATAGAAAAATTCCAACTATAATGAGTTATTTTTATTCTCTTTTTAAATTTCTTGACGTGAAATATTACTATATTCGATTCTTTTGTTTTTAAAGCATATATCTTTTCTTTGTTGAGTGGCAATGAATTTCCGTTTGTTGTGTGTTTAGACTTAAGTAGATTTCGTATCCCTACCCTATTGTGTTCCATTATGTTTCCAATTCTTATATGAGATATTTTTGACTCAGCACACTTTGTCGTGAAGTGTTTTCACACGTAACTTGTGAAGGAGAGAAATTGCTTTCATTTGATTGCAAGAATTATTAGTTATTACATGTTAAATGTGTGAAAATAGTAGAAGAATTAGACTTTGTTTGAGCTCTATTTATTGGTAGAATGAATTTTTTATTAATGCTTTTTTTTTTATATAAATAATGTATGATTAAAAGGTAGAAATATGGATTTGGGCTTATATGTAAAATTATTTCATTGAAAAAAATGTGACGTTGAAAATGAGTTGTAGATCAACTTGTAAAATTATTTTATTGAAAGATCTTGGAGCTGAAAATGAATTTGATTATCTGAGGGGTTTGAATTAGTTCCTATTTTGTATATTCTCCCGAGATGAAAGAGAGGATATGTAATTTGTTAGTTTGAATTACTCCCTACTAAATGTATTTCTCTTGAGATGAAAGAAAAAATATGTAATTTCTTTTCTAATAGCTATCATCTCATGAAAAATATTCTTGTGATGGCAGCTTGTGCCTTGTGAGAAATATTGTCGTTTGGACTTCATTTTCTAAAATTTATTTCTTTCCAAACTCATTTTCAGTTCACATTTTATAGGATTCACAATTTTTATCATCTTTTCAAACACACATTTCATTTTTTTTTTCCAGAATCTACTAAAAAATTGAATTTTAGTTAAACAAAGAGTGGAATAGTGAAATCACAATTCCTATTTTTCTTCCTACCCTTGCCCCACCCATAAGTCTTATTACATTGTGCTCTTTCTTGATTTATTTGGACTTTATGTCGGAAAAAGTAATTTAGAAATGCTAGGTTTAAATGTAATTGGCAATTCTGTGAACAAAAACGACCAAATTGAAAATGTGTAAAAGTCGAGGTGTAAGATGCAATTTGTATAATAGTGGTTGGTAAGTTAGAGTTGAAGCTCGAAATAAGGAAAGAAGAGCCACCATAATTTCACTTGTCTCTCATCAACACATTGCTCGAGCGACAAAAACAAAATGGAGTTTGCTAGCTTGTCGCCAAGACCTCTCTCGAGCGAAATATCGTCACTCGCTCTTCATTGGCCTATCGCTCGAGCGACAGTGCATGTCAGAAAACCATAATTTGTGATTTTAGAGAATTTTAACAAATCCAAACTACTCAAAACGTCCATTGTATAAATACCTACATCGTTTCACGAAAAATCATGGATTGTTACACTTTTCATATTTCATACAACCCATCGACCATTGGGATTGACAATTGAAAATATTAACACCAAAAATTCAAACACCAAAAACCAAAACTTCCAAAGTATCTATTAGAGGTTGAAGATCAAGGAAGGTGACCGGAGTTCCGATTGTTGAAGATCAAGGAGTTCTCAAGAATCCACAAGAGAAAGACGAAATCAGAATGCTGAGAGTTGGTGTAGGAGCACGCAATCCAGTAGGGCTTTAAAACTACAATCACGAGGTCAAAGAGTAGGCCCGGTCTAATGGCCTCTGCCTCAGGCCCAAGACCATTAGGGGCCTAATTTTGGCCCTTTTTTTTTTAACAAGGTGAGCAGACCTAAAATAAGGTGTGCCAATCCAAGACTAATTATCCAACAACAAAACATCCTTAAATCCCACAATAAAACAACATCCTTAATACACCTTTGAATTTTGTCACGGCGCCTAATTTTCATCGTTTGCCTTAGGGCCTATCAAACACAGGACTGGCTCTGTCAAAGAGTACTAGTATTGGTCGTGTCTTATGGTACTGTAAATTGATTTGTTTATAGTGGATTTATATTGGATTAGGCCTGGAGTTTTTAATCCTACAAGGGGTTCTCTACGTCATCAAATATCCCATGTTATTTATTTTTTGACGCAATATAAATTGCATATGAATTTATCTAGACTAATTAATAATTGCGACATATTACAATTGTTAATTAATTTGCTTAAATTCCATACAAATATCCATCCACTATATAGGTGTTATTTGGGTCGAATCGCGTAACTTTCAAGAAAAAATAAAAATCAAATCCGATATGGACTTTTTCGACTCTTTCCGGGAGGGGCGTGTGTTTTTAGTGTGTGAGAATGCAAAAATATGCGCATGAAGGACCCCACATCGTCCCATACATTGTATCTCCAATCCTTTTTGAGTCCCTGGTGTCACTCAATTGGCGTAAACAATTATTTTCTAATTATAATTAATAAGCCATACGGAAACCTCTCCAACTAATGGCATACACTTGTTCTTTGTCCTTTTCTAACCCGTCAAAATCTATATTGAGATTCTGACTATCTGAGGTCTTGCTTTTCAATTCTTGGACACCTGATTTCAGGCTTAATCACGGCAAGATTTGGTTTTTGCTTTGTGGGTTGTCAGTTTCATGTAAGTTCTTGGCTAAAAAGTAGGCTTTTTTGATCATTTTTTGGTGAAAAGATTGCTGCTTTTTATTTATTTATTTATTTTTCTGGGTTTTTGGTGAGGATTGAATTTTTTTCATATTTTTTTCTTTAATTTTTGACGATTGGTGTTAATGGGTTCTTGATCTTCCATGAGTTAATGTTGGCGAGTCTAAGAAAGGAATAATTTTTTTAGCATTTTGTGTATGGACAATTCTATGTCTATATGGTAAAAGCTGCTGCTTTAGATTATGATTTAGAAATTATAGTTTTAAAACAGCTCTACAAGAATTTGAATTTTGCTTTGTGAATTTTTGATGATTGGTGTTAATGGGTTCTTGATCTTCCATGAGTTAATGTCGACAAATCCAAGAAAGGAATAATTTGTTGAGCATTTTGTGTGTGGACGATTCTCTGTCTATATGGTAAAAGCTGCTGCTTTAGATTATGATTTAAAAATTATAGTTTTAAAATAGCTCTACAAGAATTTGGATTTTGCTTCGTGAAGGGATTGAGAAACGTATTTGGTTGTTCCTGAGCAATAGATATTTTATAATTGAGTGGTGGCTTTGTAGGTGTAAGGACTGCAGTAGATTTAAGGGCTTAAAGGATTCACAAGAATCTTCCCACCGGGTGAAATTAACGCATTTTCTTCTGAATTTGAGTTGTTGATGTGAATCATTTGAGAGTTTGCTCTGAAGTCGAGATGGAAGGGAATTTTTCATCTGGAAGTATGATGCAAGGCAATGGTTCTTACGTAGATTTTGACTTACGAGGGCCAATGAGAGTTCATCATGGCCAACAACACACGCTTGCACTTCACCAACAGCATCATCAGCCTCATGCCGGGCAAGGATCATCGACAGTTCTTCCCACAATTCATGCAAATTTTCCTCTTACGCTAGGACGGATGCAAGATCGCGACAAAACTGTTTCCCAGGCAGACTACAGTGAAAGGGAGAGGGGAAAATCTGCAAGCGATGAGGATGAGCAAACTTGTATGGAAGAAAATGATCTGAGCAGGGGGAAGAAGGCTTCTCCATGGCAGCGTGTGAAATGGACCGACACTATGGTTAGATTGTTGATTACGTCTGTTTCCTACATTAGTGAGGAAGCAGCTTCGGAAGATGGTGGTGGTGTGAGAAGGAAATGCTCAAATTTACAGAAAAAGGGCAAGTGGAAGTTGGTTTCGAAAGTCATGGCTCAAAGGGGTCATTTTGTTTCACCTCAGCAATGTGAGGATAAATTCAATGACCTTAACAAGAGGTATAAGAGACTCAATGAGATCCTTGGGAGAGGAACTTCTTGTGAGGTTGTTGAGAATCCAATGCTGTTAGACAGGATGGATCACATCTCAGCTAAAGCAAAAGAAGAGGTTCTGAAAATTCTAAGCTCGAAGCATTTGCACTACGAAGAGATGTGTTCTTACCATAATGGGAATCGGTTGCATCTTCCCCCTGATCCTGAGTTGCAACATTCTTTACGCTTAGCCCTTAGAAGTAGGGATAATGAGGATGAGGACGTGAAAAGGCATACACAAGATGACGATGAAGAAATTGAATTGGATGGACGAGATGAATCCGAGGAGAATCCCGTTTTGTTTGGGGATCACAGGGCATATAAGACGCCTGGGAGTTCTGCAAAGAGGATAAAACAGTGTCATAAGCATGAACAGCTCGGTTTTGGAAATTCTTTGGACGGCAACAGAACTTCCAATATCCAGCAAGAAAATGCAGGTGCTGATACAACTCAAGTGCAAACTGAAGGCATGAAAGAAAACATGTTACAAAAGCAGTGGATAAATCATCGTACTCTTCAATTGGAAGAAAAAAGGCTACATATTCAATCACAGATGTTGGAACTGGAGAAAGAGCGGTTCAAATGGCAGAGATTTTGCCAGAAAAAGGACAGAGAATTGGAGATGACGAGGTTGGAAATTGAGAATATGAAACTCGAGAATGAGCGGATGGCCTTTGAGTTGAGGCAGAAGGAAATTGGTTTTGACAATAGGTAATCTGTTGTCCACTTTTGTTTGATCATCAGGAACTTGCACGAACAATTCATATTTCCCTTGTTTAGTCTGTGGGTTCAAGCTTATTTTGCATGCGAAAGTCTTGTTAGAAGATTAATTTGGAAGCAGGTCCCTGTTATGTTGGTACGGTAAACTGGCCTTGTTTCCTCGCATTTCCTTGAATGTTCTAGTCTTTGCAGTAAATCTTACCATGTGGGAAATTTTCTGCTTTCGTTTTGCAACCCTTATTATCTAGGTTTTTACCTTTTCTGCTTGAAACTTTTTATCTTAATGCAAAGGAATAATTTTTGTTATGTTCTTATTTTTATGTAAGAATCTCCACATCTATGCCCTGTCTTAAATTTATCCACAAGGTGCATTTCTGTTAGGGAGAGAATAAAATAGCTAAATAAGTTCTATTTTACACAGGTCAAACAACTAAACATTCAATCAAACAGCTAAAACTGTATAAATCTTATAGCAATAGTTTCCCCTGAAGTTCACAAGAAGTTGTAGGACAGTGATGACAATAATTTTACATATGAAGTGATAAAATTCAGTCATCTAGTATGTTTAAGTTGCTCACTGAGTTAATATTATGGGAAGAAAGTTTATTTAGGCAAACTACAGCTTAGATTTAAGTATAACATGATTTATGTCAGGAAGAATGAGTATTTTGGGGAGGTAAGAGAAGACAGATTGATTAGAGAGTCAATAGTATTGGTGCCTGAAGTAAATGAATGACATCTAATTCTAAATATGGTGCTGAGCCCATTTCTTGAGCTTAAGATCTTTAGAGGGGTCAAGATGTCCGGCAAAAAAAAATCTTCTCGAGGTTTTCAAGCTAATATGGAACGGCCCTAAGATTGAATATGAGTAATTTTGTCTTAAATGAGAGGTTGTGCTAGCCTTGATTGATTCTGGACAGTCTTCTTCCCCTTATTGACAGTTCATATGTGCATTACTAAGACATTTTACGATGACATAAGTTATCATTTCCTACGAACACTTGTGCAAAACTAATGTGGAATCTTCCTAATCAAGTAACTGTCGAACCACAACATGGTATCGGCTGCATAAAAGTCTTGTCTTCTCTCATGATAGTGCGTGTTTGAGTCCTTCGATTCAAAAGGGAATCGGGCCTGTTAGGATCTCAAACAGGTTTTAGACCGACATATTTCAGCTTTAAACCATTGAATTTCTTAGTAATTAGTACTGTTCGCATATTGAATCTATACCAAACCAGCTTGCTGAATATTTTCTTTTCAATCCCATTTTCTATTAGTTTTCGTAATGTACGTACATGGTAACAGAAATGAATTGATCTCTTGCACAATCTGTTGTAAACCTCTGATTGAAAATTTTCATCAAGAAGAGTGAACAGAATACTTGAGCATTTTTTTTTTTTTTTTAAGTCGTACCAGCACATTCTTGAGTGTGTTTTTCTAAATACTTGACATGAATTATTTGGTCATTACTGGACTCCTTTTAAGAACTGTCAGTAATGAAAGTTTGCAATGGGTGTTCCCTCCAAAAACTGTCGGTAAGCTCAACTGAATAGGATACTTCACTATCTTTTTCACCCGCCTTTCATCTACATTGCGATGTTTGGCTCACTCAACTTGATGTGATAGTTTACTATTTACCGTTCAAATATGACCTATACAGGCATGTGTTTGTAGAAGCTGGTGCTTATAGTAGCATGGAAAATGCCTCCACTTTATTTCAAAAAACAGTACATAACTTGTACTTTTATGTCAGTGTCCTCCAGGGGACCGTCAACCTGAAACAGATGCTAGAATTTTGTTCAAAACACTGCAAAGAATCAACATATTGTTTTGTACTTTCTGCCCGCCAATAACACAGATTTCTTCGTCATTTTAGTTCCAAATTTAGGTCCATTGCTTGTGTTCACAGCCTTGAGCATGTATTTTTCTAGTAGTAAAATGTAGCCATTTGCAAGAGAATAACACTTTGTACAGGAGAGTTAAATCTCACATTGAATAAAGATGTAAACAATACACATCCAAGTCTTTTATTCCCATCCCCTCGTCCGTCTCTGTCCCAAACCACCTTTAACAACCCCCCCCCCCCCAGCACAACGATGCATCCACCATCCCTCTACTCGAGCGACTCGTGATCTCACATCAGGTGGGATTGGGGGAGGTATGGGGAATGAAGGGACGGGTCGAGGGGAAGAGAGATACAAAAAACGGGAGGTAAAGGTTAGTGATGCCACAATTTCAAACATTTTACACAAGTGGGATAGTGGTGAATAAAAATAATTTAGTTGAAGCTTATCCAATTGTGGCTCACATCATGATTGAGGGTGACATGAGTAACAAAGTTAGATGATAAATATGAAATATCCATTGTGACTACTGTCAAATTCTCTCTCTCTTCATCCATTTGTGGGCTGTCAATTGTTATCACATGGGATAGTTTACACTGCTGCTCAATATGGGCTTTTTGAGTGCATCCTTGGTCCATTTAATGGGCCCCTTACAGTGACACTTGAAAACCTCTTATTGCTTTCACGGGCCTCATTCTTGCCACATTTATCTAGGGGTGGCAGACGGGTCAAGTCGATTACATTTTCGACTCATCTAGACTTGACTTGTGGGATGCTATATCTCATTTTGAGATGAACCATGAATCGAGCGAACACCTTTTTCTCTTGACTAGTGAAATCACAAACCGACTCATTTTGGACTCAACTCCATTCGACCCATGAGGCCATGAGCCCTCCACGAGCCAACGGGCGGAATGGAGTCGAGCTTAGCTTTTTGAACACATGTCGAGCTTGAGTTTCTAAGGGTTTAGTCAACTCAGCCCATTGTTACCCCTCCATTTACCTTGTTTTTTAATTTTTATTGTATTTTTACATAGGTTTTGGCATATTTCCATGTGGTGACATTTTTGGTCAACTCTAACCTTGTTAAAAAAAAAAAAGGGAAAAGAAACTAAATGGTGACATTTTTGGTCAACACTAACCTTGTTAAAAAAAAAGAAAAAAGAAAAGTAACTTAATCGTTACTTTATAATTCCGACTAGACAATATACCTATAAAATTACTAATTAGGTTGTATGCGACATCGTTGAATTTTTCAAGCATACAATCTTCTATGATCAAATGACGTTTAAAATAGTAAACATGGAGCAATAATATATGTACAGTAAACTTTGACATAGTCAAATTAGTCTGCATTCAAATTCGATCAATATGAATTACCCATACGTATAATATATTTTGAATAACTTCGAGCCACAGAAAGAAAAATGTTGATTATTTTTATTTCGCTACCATATTTCACACTAGCTTATGGTGCCGTAATTATAAAAAAAAAAAAAAAAAAAAAAAAAAGATTTCACTTTTGTGGCAGCTTGACAAGACTTTCTCGGTTTCATCTTCAATTCCTTCCAACTTAAAAAATCAAAATATAATTATTAAAGTTTGTCCCAATTCGTGAAATCATGATTTAAAGTTCGTACAGTGGTAAAACAGATTATTTACAATAATTACTACAGTTGGCTTTGTATGTAAGTTAACAATTGTAGGTTTTATTTTAAAGAAATCGGAATTTGCAATCGAGCTCTCCCTCTAAAAGATTATTATTTTTCTCAAAGCAAACGATGAATAGATGAGTCAAATAAACGAATGGAGTAGGGCCGGAAATTAAACCGCTTAACATAATTGATACCTCATTTTGTCTCGAAAGTCGCCAAATTTGAGATTAAATTGGAAAATCTCATGAAAAGCTCAAATAAATGCCCACCTAAATCATTCTATCGAATGCTAGAAAAGATTGTTATTATGTTTCACCACTCAGTCGTTCATTAGTTAAATCTTTTTTTAATAAAAAATCTTCAAAAATATTTCCTGGCAAAAAGTGTTGGGGAATATCATGAATAAGAAACCGTTATATCATATGAGTTTGCACCATCACTAATCAAGAGAGCTAGTATGCCACCATAATTATTAATAGACAAGCATATGTACAATATGTCAATTATCATACCTTAGTCATAGTTAATTCAAATTGAAATAAGACTGGAACATCTTTGAATTCTACTTGAAATCAAATTTGACGCAATTACTTGTACTTTCAAATCCATCCATCACTAGCTAATTATACAGAAATAGGGGTTGGAAATTGAGACGAAGACATTTAGTGCATAGCATTAAAGAACACTGCATATGAAGAATGCTTTTTTCCGTTAGTATCGTATCTAAATTATTTAATGTAACATACCCAATATCTCAATATCAGGTATACACAACACTTGTATCTTGCATTACTATGAACCGTTTGACATGACTTCTGCTTGTTGTATAAGAGTTTCTCGAGAAAGTTACTTTAAGTCGGCTTTCTTTAAAAGCTCTTTTATTGACACAAAGCACTTTGAGGTAATTATTTAAACTTGTTCAGAGGCAACTTTTGACTTATTAAAAATCCTAACAAACGGCCCTATATATACTAGTGTCGTAACATATCGTATGCATCATATACAAGTGTCTCCCATTATACAGTTACGCTAGCAAGGATCTGATTTTTCTGTATGATGAAGTAACCTTAACAACTAATCTTAACAACGAGTTACCTAATTTGTAACCTAAGATAGGCATCTCCACTATCTTAGCAAACGTTAGCATGTGGTTTGGATCATGATTTAATTGCACATTCACATGTTGTCATGTTCCCACAATAACTATCTATGTCATCTAAAGTATTTCTAATTGAGTGTGCATTTAAGTCACTGCACATGCTTCTCTAACTTGCTAATCACACATAATTTTGTTTATTTCCCGGCTCCTTAAAGATTCAATTTTCATATATATAATCTACTATGGCTATATTTTAACCATCATTATGTCATAATTAATGTTGTTTTATGTAGTAAGTGTTGAAAGGTAAAATTTCACATTGATTAATAATCAATATGTAAGATATTTGGCTACTTTCTTAACAAGATTGTACTGAAAATTAGAGAATCTAATATATACCACGGAAGGCAATAGAGTTGATGTAAGGAAATAAAGACACAAAAGATTTATAGAGATTCATCTTAATATAAACTTACGTCATCTCTGCCACTATAGTAATTCACTCTGTCAAAAATAAGTTTATAAAAAAGAAAAATCGCACATTCTATTTTATCTAACCTCTCTCTTTTGATAATAATAATAAAATAAATCTCAATGATGCTTCCAATTAATAAGAAAAATTAGGGCAAAATCAAAATTATAAATATGAAATTTATAAACAAAAATTGATGAAATTTTAAACTCTGGGGAAGCTTCCTTATGAAAAATAGAAAG